CCTTCTTCTTCTTCTCATCTTCTTCTTCTTCTTCTTCTCATCCTTCTCCTTCTTCTCATCCTTCTTCTTCTTCTCATCCTTTTCTTCTTCTCTATCCTTCTTCTTCTTCTTCCTCATCCTTCTCCTTCTTCTCATCCTTCTTCTTCTTCTCATCCTTCTTCTTCTCATCCTTCTCCTTCTTCTCATCCTTCTTCTCATCCTTCTCCTTCTTCTCATCATTCTCCTTCTCCTTCTTCTCATCCTTTCCTTCTTTCTCATCCTTCTCCTTTCTTCTCATCCTTCTCCTTTTCCTTCTTCTCATCCTTCTCCTTCTTCTCATCCTTCTCCTTCTTCTCATCCTTTCCTTCTTCTCATCCTTCTCCTTCTTCTCATCCTTCTCCTTCTCCTTCTCCTTCCTCATCTCCAAGGGCATTTAAATTAAAGGTACAGTGTTCTGCACTAATTTAAAGGCTCTCTGAAGCCTAGAAACCCTTTTTATAAGTTAAATTCGTAGCGAATAAATTCGCATCGAATCGAATTTCTTCCTCAAATTCGGCGAATCAGCCAAATCGAATTTTTGAATAATTCGCTCATCTCTACATATAATGTGCAACAAAATCCCACAATCCATAAAATGTCCAAAAAAAGTCCAAAATAGTGTCCACAAATATCCCAAATGTATTCACTCTTTTCCTCCACTGAAAGGATTGGCTGCTATTTCATCCAAAACGCACCTCGAAATAAGATATAAAAATATCTAGTGCATTACCTCAATAATAATAAAAATAACAATAATCACCCCGTGCAACCAAAATACACTTCAAAAACTTATAGTGAAAAAAAAAAATAAAAATATATATATATATTAAATTAATTCCTTATAGTGCATATAATCACACACATCAAACTGTAAACACTCTGTGATCACTGCAAATCAGTGTCTACCATCAACCAGCACACAGTAGTACTAGGTACTATTACCCTCTTATGAGTATTGAAATGCTCAGACACTATTATGGAATAATGTTCTTCCACCTCATCTTCCAAGTTAATTATTTTCTTTCCAAGGTCCTCAGAGAGATAAACAGGGTCTCAGGGCTAGTGTTTCAAGTATATAAATCCCTTTTTATTCAACACTTACATGTAAAATTAGAAATATCAGCTCCAGACATGGTTAGAAACTTCTCCAACCAAACATCATGTGTTTCAAACCAACAAAATGGCCGCGGCGACACTTCCGGTCTACGTACGTGCACCTTGACGTCACTCATGTTTTTTCCCCTAACGCGATGAAGTCCGGAAGTGACAAAACACGTTAGGGAGTGACGTCAAGGTGCACGTACGTAGACCAGAAGTGTCGCTGCGGCCATTTTGTTGGTTTGAAACACATGATGTTTGGTTGGAGAAGTTTCTAACCATGTCTGGAGCTGATATTTCTAATTTTACATGTAAGTGTTGAATAAAAAGGGATTTATATACTTGAAACACTAGCCCTGAGACCCTGTTTATCTCTCTGAGGACCTTGGAAAGAAAATAATTAACTTGGAAGATGAGGTGGAAGAACATTATTCCATAATAGTGTCTGAGCATTTCAATACTCATAAGAGGGTAATAGTACCTAGTACTACTGTGTGCTGGTTGATGGTAGACACTGATTTGCAGTGATCACAGAGTGTTTACAGTTTGATGTGTGTGATTATATGCACTATAAGGAATTAATTTAATATATATATATTTTTATTTTTTTTTTTCACTATAAGTTTTTGAAGTGTATTTTGGTTGCACGGGGTGATTATTGTTATTTTTATTATTATTGAGGTAATGCACTAGATATTTTTATATCTTATTTCGAGGTGCGTTTTGGATGAAATAGCAGCCAATCCTTTCAGTGGAGGAAAAGAGTGAATACATTTGGGATATTTGTGGACACTATTTTGGACTTTTTTTTGAAATTTTTTGGATTTGTGGATTTTGTTGCACATTATATGTTTGTAATTTGAAAATTGATTTTTATTTTTTATTTTATTCATTTATTTTTATAATTTACAAAAAGGTTGTGTATATATATTATTACACTTTCTAGGGAGAAAGTATTGACCTTTTGAGGTTTATAAGGGTTTATATTGATTGAAAAGTGATTGGCTATTGTTTTACAAAGTGAAACTTCCCCACATTAAATAAACTCTGGGGCAAATTCCCTTGAAAAGTGCAGTTTCCCCTGCAAAGTGAACAGCCTATTTGATTTTGGTAAATTAACCCCCAATGCAACTGCTGTGGATGGGCAGGGGGATTTTCAGGAAAACAAGATTTGCAGTGAAATTTCTAATTTTACTGTGAGATTCACAGAAGTGGAAAATATAATGTTTGCTCATTGACTTGCTTAGATTAAAATTGCTTAACAAAATCTAGTTTTGTTTTAGTTGTTTTTTTTAGTTGTTTCTATTCTTTTGTTATATAGTTACATAGTTAGTCTGGCTGAAAAAAGACAATTCCATCCAGTTCAATAAAAAAGAAAAAAAAAAGTTATAATCCTACACCCACAGTTGATCCAGAGGAAGGCAAAAAACCCAGCAAAGCATGATCCAATTTGCTCCTGCAGGGGAAAAATTCCTTCCTGATCACCCGAGAGGCAATCGGATATTCCCTGGATCAACTTTACCTATAAATGTTATATCCAGTTATATTCTGTGTATCTAGGAAAGAATCCAGGACTTTCCTACAGCAATCCACTGAGCTGGCCACAACCAACTCTTGAGGGAGTCTATTCCACATTTTCACAGCTCTCACTGTGAAGAAACCTTTCCGTGTTTGGAGATTACATTTCTTTTCCTCCAGATGTAAAGAGTGCCCCCTTGTCCTCTGTGATGACCTCAGGGTGAATGACTCTGCACCGAGTTCACTATATGACCACTGATGTATTATACATGGAGATCATATCCCCCCCTTATGTATTATACATGGAGATCATATCCCCCCTTATGTATTATACATGGAGATCATATCCCCCCTTATGTATTATACATGGAGATCATATCCCCCTTATGTATTATACATGGAGATCATATCCCCCCTTATGTATTATACATGGAGATCATATCCCCCCTTATGTATTATGCGTGGTGATCATATCCCCCCTTATGTATTATACATGGTGATCATATCCCCCCTTATGTTATTATACATGGAGATCATATCCCCCCTTATGTATTATACATGGTGATCATATCCCCCTTATGTATTATACATGGAGATCATATCCCCCCTTATGTATTATACATGGTGATCATATCCCCCTTATGTATATACATGGAGATCATATCCCCCCTTATGTATTATACATGGAGATCATATCCCCCCTTATGTATTATACATGGAGATCATATCCCCCCTTATGTATTATACATGGTGATCATATCCCCCCCTTTATGTATTATACATGGAGATCATATCCCCCCCTTATGTATTATACATGGAGATCATATCCCCCTTTATGTATTATACATGGAGATCATATCCCCCCTTATGTATTATACATGGCGATTATATCCCCCTTATGTATTATACATGGGGATCATATCCCCCTTATGTATTATACATGGTGATCATATCCCCCTTATGTATTATACATGGAGATCATATCCCCCCCTTATGTATTATACATGGAGATCATATCCCCCCTTATGTATTATACATGGAGATCATATCCCCCCTTATGTATTATACATGGAGATCATATCCCCCCTTATGTATTATACATGGTGATCATATCCCCCCTTATGTATTATACATGGTGATCATATCCCCCCTTATGTATTATACATGGAGATCATATCCCCCCTTATGTATTATACATGGTGATCATATCCCCCCCTTAATCTCCTCTTCTCAAGAGAGAATACATTCAGTTCCTCTAATCTTTCCTCATAGCTGAGCTCCTTCATGCCTCTTATCAGTTTGGTTGCCCTTCTCTGTACTTTTCTCCAGTTCCCCAATGTTCTTTTTGTGATTTGGAGCCCAAAACTGAACTGCATATTCCAGATGAGGTATTACTAGTGATTTGTACAGGGGAAAAATTCTCTCTCTCTCTCTCTGGATGTATCAGATCATTTCATACCGTTGAGTTAAATTTTATATATTGCCAAACTTTTTGTGAAATGAAAACTCTCAAATTCACTCATCCATAATGATTATATGAGCCTTTCTCAACTTTTTTTTAATAGGAAGGAATCCTTGAAATATTATTCTGTTCTCAGGGAAACCCTTATAAAAAATACTGCATCTACAGCTCACTGTACATTAGAGTGATGGTCAAGGAGAAGAATTCTCCCCACATTTGGGGTCAGTTGGAATAATCATCCTCATACAAATAGCTAAAAAGATCAATGGCTTCATTGGTAACTTGCCTCAGTAGTAGAAATTACCCCTGGAAACCTCTGGAGGAGACCGGGTTGAGAAAGGCTGGACTATATGCTTCGAGTTCTTTCCAGACAGCTGATCTGCAGACCTTGCTGAAGGTATGAAGCATTAAAATGTGTAGTTCAGATTAAGGCACCAGTTCACCAAGAGTATGTGTGTGAAACTGGACAAAGAGGAAAAAAATGGTAAAGAAGACACGAAGAAGCACAATGTGGATACACTATTGATGTCATTGGAGGGGGTTTGGGGATATGGCCCTATATATAAATGAATACCAAACTCATATAGAAAACTCAAAAAAGCTGTTTACCACCAAAGGTATGGTAGATTGTATCAAAAGTGGTTGACTGTTTTCCTTAAGAAGCAAAATGTTTAGGGTTTACATGTTGGGTATATTTATTATCTCCTTTTAACTAACTAGGGATTAAATGTAATAGACATGTTAGGGGCTTTGTCTTTCTTTTATGTTGACATATATAAGGCCATATGAGATACGGTACATAGTCACGCAACCTGATAGCACCTTCATTTTGACTTGGCTTTGAATAACTTTAACATGACATTTAGAAAACAGGTAAAAACACAAATAAAAATAAACACCATACCATAATGATTTCAAGCACTTCTGTTTTGTTGATGGTTCCATTACCATCCACATCGTATAAAGAGAATGCCCACTCTAGTTTCTGGTTGGCTTTGCCAGACGAAGTCATATGTAGCGCTATCATGTATTCCTTAAAGTCCAATGTGCCGTCGTTGTTGGCATCAAAGCTTCTGAAGACATGGTGGGCATAAGCTTTTGGGTCAGCATCTGGAAAGAACTTGGAGTAAATGCTTTCAAATTGCTTCTTGCTAATCCTGCCACTGGGGCACTCCTTCAGGAACGACTGGTACCAGGTGCACAGTTCCTCCTGGGTAAATTTGGTGTTCATCTGCAACTCCTCCAAAATCTCTTTAGAAAGGGCACTACTTTTGCTGTTACCCATGATGAAAAATTAGAAGTCTAGGAACTAAAGGAAGACCTTCCCTTTTGTCCTACAAGACCAAACACAAGAAAGTAATGAGCAAGGCATTCTTCATGAGCCTAAATCCAGATAATGCCTTTTTGGGATTACGAGGGTTTAGGCGTCATGTACAGAATGATATTGACTCTGTGACTTTAGAATTTCAATTAGTTATCACAATTCCTTCGCTTGAGCCAATCTATTTTTATCATGATACGGGTTATGAAGATTACCTACCCGAGTTTTATCTTTTGTAACACATTGTGAATTGCTTACATTATTTCGACCTGGATTTGGACTAGGATAACCAACCAGAAATTAGAACAAGTTACCTTGTTATGGCTTTATCTTCAAGGCTGGATTTTCAAAGTGCTCAGTATTAGGTGCTGCTAATTGCGATTGTTCAGGATTACTAAAGACCATCCTTTCTCAACCTTTTTAAAACAGAGAAACCCTTGAAATAATTTCATGTCTTGGGGAACTCCTATTATGTTGTTATATCTCTAGCTCACAATACTTTTTCATGGTCAGTAAGTTGCAGATATAATAATACATGAAAAAATGTGCTCTATAAGACAGTAATATCCAAAGAACAAAGGTATACTGCTCAGGCAAACAATCCAGATCAGTCCATGATAGGTGCAGGCTCTGGATTGCCACCACACACGATGGAACAGGAAGAAGGGTCAGCCGAACACCACTGGATTGATGAGTATAGTGTATATTTATTGATCCATAGGACACACAAAACACCAGGACATGGAATACAGGACCTGTTAACCTGAAAACCTATTTCTTCAGGGAAGCCTATCCTGCCATCAGCTAATACTTGACTATTGCACCAGAGATAGGCTTGTCCACTCCCCATTACCACCATGACCGTTCCGTACAAACCCCCCTTTCCCCTTAACCAATTATACTTACAAAAAACATGACACCAATTTTGGAGTAAAAGGCCAACATGGCCTTTTATTAACAACACAAATTTAAATACATCAACCATTCCTTATAACAGAAACCCAAAGAATTGTTGTTGGTCTTCGAAAGCACCCCCAAACAATCCGAAATGCACCTGCGGACAACCATATACACTAGGCCTCCAGCCGCAACCAACCAGCTCGGAGACAACCATACCGTCCGCGGTGCAGCACCACCACCTTCCATGTAAACCTTGGTTAACTGGGAATGTCCCCGGGCACATCATACCACCGATGGGTCCCCACACCATTGTTTTTACCTTCCAAGATAACCGCCTCCAAAGACCAACAACCGCCCAGGAACCAACATAACCCCCCTTTACCTGGAGGGACCCAATACTCACCAAAAACAGGGAGGGCAGGAGGGAAGCTCTTACTCCTGACTTCCAGCTCAACTGACGCCCCCTCACTGAAACCCCCCACCCTAAGGTGCAGGAAACCCCACCTACTCTCAACCTTCCACCAACCAAATACCCCCACTATCAAAACAAACCCCTTGGATCTGCCTTAACCCCTCCTGTTCCTCCTTCCCCACTCTGAGCCTAGTCATGTATGCCCTGCGCCATTTCTTCTTTCTTTTTTGCTACGGGCATTTCTGGAATCTTCCAACCAGTCCATCCCCCACAGTTACTACCTTTTGTACCACTAGCCCCTACCTCCTAGATTGTAAGCTCCCAGGATCAGGGCCCTCCTATCCCTCTTGTATTGAACTGTATTGTTGCTGTATTGTCTCCCGTTATATTGTAAAGCGCTGAGCAAACTGTTGGCGCTATATAAATCCTGTACAATAACAATAAAAAAATATACACTATATTCATCATCCTCTGGTGTGCAGCTGACCCTTCTTCCTAAGACAGCAGTAGCAATCATGAAATTGAACAAAATAATTGTGGCCGCAAAAAGAACACCAACATAGTACCCCTTACATTAGTGGTCAGTGGAAAAGTGCCTTCTTGTATTGGTAGTCAGTGTAGTGGTCCATTACCTCGGTGGCCAAGAACCCTTTATGTTAATGGTCAGTGGGAGAAGGACACCCTTACATCATTGATCAGTGGGAACACTGCCCCCCTTATACAAAGTTAAAAACATAATCGATATTGGTGGCTACTGGTAGCCCTGGTTGAGAAACTCTGCTATAGGCATTATTCTGTGCTGGCGAGAGAGTTTCACCCATGTACTTGGCAGTAACGTTAGCATAATAATGTGACATTATTTTTTTGCCCATTGTATTTGCCCTCCTAAAACACATTCATAGTCCAAATTCATTTATTTATTATTTATTTCAGGTACTTATATAGCACCATCAATTTACAGAGCACTTTTACACATATATATTGTACATTCACATCAGTCCCTAACCCTCAAGGGTTGTACAATCTAAGGTCCCTAACCCTCAAGGGTTGTACAATCTAAGGTCCCTAACTCACATTCATACATACACATACTAGGGCCAATTTAGACAGGATCCAATTCACCCACCAGCATGACTTTGGAGTGTGGGAGGAAACCCACACAGGCACAAGGAGAACATGCAAACTCCAGGCAGGTGGTGCCATGGTTGGGATTTGAACTGACGACCCGAGTACTGCCAGGCTGAAGTGCTAACCATTTAGGCACTGTGCTGCCCCAGTTAGGACTTTAAGACTAGATTACACAATTAAGCATTTGATGTAAAAATTGTTTGGCTTCCAATTTAGATTCTAACATTTGCCACATTTTTCTTTATATTGATGAATTATATAATTCGATGTTAGAACTCTTCTACGACATGGACCGTACTCAGCCAACCCTGATGTTCTCCTCTTAAGGCTGACCTGAAAGGACATCGGCCCAAAAGAAGAGGGAGGTGGCCAAGATTTATTATGTGGCCTCCTTAAAGTTGTTTTAAAAATGAACCCTGCTCTTCATCGCTAAGCTTTCAGTCTAAAAATAAAGGCTGTAAATCCACTTATGTGTTCGTATGCTGACGTCCTGTTCATCATATAGCCCAAATATGAACTTGATCAATCTTATGTTAGATGAGCAGGTTCAGGAAGATGCCTCAAAGTTCTAGATTCCATTTATAGAAGCTCTCGGGATTTGAAATAGATGGGTCTAGGCAGGGATAAACTGACAACTTATGGGGCCCCCGGGCAATAGGAGATCATGGGACCCCTGTGTCCTCGCCCACACTCAAAAAAAGCCTAGTACACACAATCTAGTACACACAATCAGATAATCGGACGACTTATCGTTAGTTTTTTGGTTGCGTGCTAGTCTCATATCAAAAATGAAGAGGTTCCTGTCAGGAATGGACTCGCCAATGGTGGAGGGACTCACCTGCCTTGTGGGCTGCAGTACCAAGGCTGTCCAGCGGGTGCTCTCAGCAGCCAGAATCTCACTCCTGCAATCAAGCCATCACCTGAGGCTGATTGCAGGAGGTGTATTTAAGCAGGACCAGGCCTGTGATCAGTGCCTTGGTGTTTGTTTCCCATGAGCCCCTGTATCTTTTTACCTGTGCCTGATCCTCCTTTTTTTCCCCCAAAATGTTCAGTATTTTTAGTTGGTATAGCAAAAAAAAAATAAAAACCCCAGTGGTGATTAAATCTCACCAAAAGAAAGCTCTATCTCAAAAAAAGGATACAAATTTTGTTTGGGTACAGTGTTGCATGACCACGCAACTGTCATTCAAAGTGCGACTATGATGAAAGCTAAAAATTGGCCTGGGCAGGAAGGGGGTATAAGTGCCCAGGAGGCAAGTGGTTAAAGGAAGGATCACGGTGACAGTCAGGAGCAGGGGTGGACTGACAACTCATGGGGCCCCCGGGCAATAGGGGATCATGGGGCCCCTGTGTCCTCACCCACACTCAAGCCACACCCAAAAAAGCCTATGAAAGGTACCAGAGGCATTTCATGGGGCCCCCTACTGACCCAGGGCCCTCAGGCAGTGCTCGAGTGCCTCAATGGTCAGTCTGCCCCTGGTCAGGAACCTACACCTTCAAAAAGAAGTCAGCAATGGTGGCTTCCTTCCATAATTCTGCCCCGACTCACTTTACACTGATCACACTTTTGCACCATCTTAGAAAATCATAAACAGGGCAGCTCTGTTTTAATACCAAGTGCAATGATATTTTAAATCCCATTTCTGGTGAACTTGTTAAGGTAACATTTTTTGTTTTTTCTCAGAAAGGAAATATTTTCTGTAAATGTAAAAAAAACTCGGCACAACAATCAGAGCGACAAATCACCCCAGACGGTGATTGCGTCTTGACGTCTCCGTTTATAGGGAATTGAAGGGCTGATTGGTGGAGGAAAGTTTTTCATCAAACCCATTCTCCGTTCCTGTAAATCCCTGTCATTATTCCACAGCGAATGTTACTTTTCTTTCACGTTTCCAAGGAAATAATTACAGCTCATCAAGCAAATCTGCAGACAATCCGAAGAAGAAAATTATAATAAACAATTCCAAAATTGCATACGCTCCTGTTATTCTCGGTTTATTTTAAACTTCTGCTAGAAGTTATGTCTTTTTCTGTCTGCTTCTAAACTTCTAGTTAACCGTCTGAGAATACGGAAAGGTACCATTCCTGGCGTATATGGCGGACCCCACAGACGCGGAGATGAAAATTATTATTATTATTATTATATAGTATTTATATAGCGCCAAAAGGTTTGCTCAGCTCTGTACAAAATAGTGGGGGACAATACATGAGACAATACAGTAACAAAACAATACACCAGGGGTTCGAGGGCCCTGCTCTTTCGAGCTTACAATCTAGGAATGGTTTCATTCAAACCCACATGCCTTCACCCCATACGCAGGGGTGTATTTACCACAAGGCAAACAAGGCATTTGCCTAGGGTGGCATTTTTCAGGGGGGGGGCAGCACTGCCCCTTTGAAGAAGGGACTGAAGAAGGGACACACACAGCATGGGGACCTGGTGGGATCCGAGAGATGCTGTGGATTTCATAACGGTGTATGCACAGCCTGACTCTCGTTTCCGGGGATATCCGGAGCTGTGAAG